GATCATTTTTCTTCTGCCAGAATAACCGTCTTTTATTATACTTTTAACACAGGCCTGTTGGCAACAAATGCCCTGTTTTCATTTGCTTCAAAATATTTTTGTTTTGTTATATTTTTGAAGGATATTTTACTGAGCTAGGATTCTAGATTGTGTCTTATTTTTCTTTCATCATTTTAAAGTTGTTCATAAATTACTTCCAGCTTTCATCATTTCCGTTGGGAAATCAGTTGTCATTTCTATCGTTTTTTAAAAGGTAATGTGGCTTTTTTTTTTTTTTTTTTTTTTTTTTTTTTTNTTTTTTTTTTTTTTTTTTTTTTTTTTTTTTTTTTTGCTTCTGGGTGCTTTTAAGATTTTCTCTTTATTTTTCAAGAGTTTTACTATGATTTGCCTACCAGTGGTTTTGTGTGTGTCTCTCTTGCTTAAGGTTCTGAGTTTCTTAAACCTGGGGATTGATATTCATAAGTTTTGAAAAATGCTAATTTGGTATTTCTAAAATATTGACTTTTGTTCTGTGTTTCTCTTCTCTTTCTGTACTCTCTCTATAGTATATATAGAAAGAGTACCTATATACGCATACATGGCATTATGTGATAAACATTACGCATGTGCCCCGTGTATCTCTTATGCCATGTATTTTTCTTTTCTTGTCTCTAGGCACTTGATGTCTTGTTTAAAAATTGTGTGTTCTCATGGACACAGGGAGGGGAACATCACACACTGTGGCCTGCTGGGGGTTGTGGGGCTAAGGGAGGGATAGCAGGGGGTGGGGGGATTGGGGAGTGATAGCGCTAAGTGAAATACCTAATGCAGATGATGGGGTGCTGGATGCAGCAAACTACCATGGCATGTATACTATGTAAGAAACCTACACGTTCCGCACATGTACCCCAAAACTTAAGGTATAATAAAAAGAAAAAAGAAAAAAAATTATGTTCTACTGTATCGAACCTGCAGTTGAAACCACTCATTTCATTATTAATTTCAACAATTGCATTTTTTTGAATTCTACAAAGAATTCTACAAAGTCTATTGACTCTCTGTAATTTACAATTTTTTTTGAAGTTCGGAAACTTTTCATTCATTCTGTCCATCTTGCCTCCATATTATTTAACATATTAATTATGGTTATTCTAAAGCTCCTGTCTGCTACCCCCAGTATCTGAATCCTATGTGATTCTGGCTCCGCTCATGACTTAAGGTCTACTTTGCTTCACCAGCTTTCTCTGGGTTAGTGTTTATATCATTTCTTTCCTATATTTTACTTTCAAACTTTTTGTGCACTTATTTTTAAAGTACGTAAGTAACATATGGTTGGTTTTCTTTTTAAATCCATAGAGACAATGTTAATGTCTAGATTGTAGAATTATATTTTTTCACTTCTTTGTATAGTTAGTAATTTTTAAATGTCTAATCTTAATGAAATTTAACACATTTAAGTACTCAGCACTGTGCATTTAGAAAGAGAACAAGAGTGGAGATTCTACATGGTGTCTTCCACCATTGCAGAGCCCTCTGTGCTCTCCTGGGCAGATAAGTTCAGGAATGATTATCTCAATCCAATCAGGGATTTAGCTGGGTTATGGTTGGTCATGCAGTCAAACCTCAAATAAACTCAGTTTTCCTCTCATGATGTTTATTTTCTGGGCATGCCCTTGCAGCCTCCTCACAGAGAGACTTGTAGGTCTCAAACACCTTTACCTTGAAGGTCTGCAGGAGATTCGGGGTTCCCACCCTTTCCTCCATGCAGCTTCAACATGGTGCTCGTCGAGAAGCAGGTGACTGGTGATCTTGACACAGACACCTCCATTGGTGGGTCTTTGTTCCCTCAGCATTGGAGGCTGCAAGGTATTTGCCTTTGACATTTAGATAGTAGTCTAGCTGTCCAGACACCCATACAGCTTGAAATTGGGCACTTGGGTCTCTTAAGTTTCTAGTTTCTCCTCCAGACCAGCACAACTGCACTCTTAAAAGCCGTACTGCCTTCTCTGCCCCTGCAGGTGATCTCCTTCTGGACCAAGTCTGAGTCTCAGCCTAGAGACAGGATGAGCAAATGTTCCCCAGGGGACAGGAGGGGCAAAAACCTGTTGGCAGTGATAGCTCATTTCATGAGAGTGATGATTCCCTGAAATTTCAGTTGATTTAGTCCTCATTGGTCCCAGTTTTCCTATGGTATAATTAAAAAAAAATGACCCAGCTTTTTTCTGGATGGAATACTGGTCTACCATATTTTACAGCATCCTACCCAGGAGTGAAAATTCAAACATTATTTTTAAAACACCAATTGGAAAGAAAATAATCTACTCCCAAGACTATAGTATCCATCAGGACTTTTGCTTCACTACTCAGTGATCTTTTGTAAAATGTAACATTTTCCCTTTCAAATATTAGTCATAAATATGACCTATCTATCCTCTTAAAGAACATCTTGCAAAAAAGAAAAAATTGGATCTAGACTTTTTTTTTGAGACAAGATCTTGTTGTCATCCAGGCTGGAATGCAGTGGCATGATCATGGCTCACTGCAGCCTCGACCTCCCCAGACTCAAGGGATCCTCCTGTCTCAGCCTCCCAATTATCTGGGACCACAGGTGTACATTACTAAGCCTGGCTAATAATTTTTTTTTAAATAGAGACGGGGTCTCCCTCTGTTGCCTATGCTGGTCTTGAACTCCTGGCTTCAAGCAATCCACCTGCCTTGGTCTCCCAAGCCATTGGAATCATAGATGTGAGGCACTACACCTGGCCTGGACCTAGGTTCTTAACAGAAGGCATCAAACATCAAACAAGAGAGAGATACTTGGGGAGTAGTACAGGCATTAAGTGGAGCACAAAAGGTGGCCTCTGTTGTGCATTGAAGGAGAAAGCAAGTGTAAGGCTGCAGTTTGACCCTTGTTAAAGCAAACTAAATGTGGCCTGAGAAGGACTCTGTACTTCTATATTTGAGTCCCTGTGGACAAACTAACCTAGCTTAATAGGCATATAAGATTGAAACCCTAACTTGGGAGGCTGAGGCCAGAGGATCCCTTGAGCCTGGAGAGGTCGAGGCTGCAGTGAGCCATGATCATGCCACTGCACTCCAGCATGGAAAACAGAACAAGATCCTGTCTCAAAAAAAAGAAAAAAAAGGCTAGATCCATTTTTTTTTTTCTTTTTTACAAGATGTTCCTAATGAGAACAGATAGGTCATACTTCTGACTATCGTTCCAGGAGATTGCACCCGTAACAATAGCTGAGTCTTGGTGAATCCCAGCAGCCACACTTCAACCATTCATACTCTGCTGAGTGTTCAAACTGTGTTCAAACAAGGCAAACACCAACCGGGAACCAATCCAGCTGTTTCTGTACCTCTGCAGATTCCTGCACGTCATTTCCTTTTTTGGCGTATAAATTTGTTCTGACCATGAGGCATCCCTGAAGTCTCTCTGAGGCTGCTGTGACCCTAAGGGCTGCCCAATTCGAGAATTGTTCATTGCTGAATTAAACTCCTTTAAATATAATTCAGCTGAAGTTTTTCTTTTAACACCCTGGACTCTGTTCCTTCCTGTGTTACATTGAGCAAGTCATTTTCTCTTGGTCTCTGTGCTCTGGAATTTGAAATAAGGTTAGTTTGACCCTATTTTAAACAACACAGAATAAAACCTCTTCTCTACTTGCTACATCGGTGCTGTTACAACTGCTCACAAGGGAGCCCTTACTTGGATTCTGTCGTTCGTTTGAAACGGGCCCCAGCAATGAAAGTTCTAGAAGGGAAGTGGGGTTTTCTGGCTGCTGTTTCAAGTGGCTAACTGTCCTCTGACTTTATTCCATCAGTGCAAGAGTGGAATAAAAATAAGAAGACCCAGGTTAGTGAAGGGGTGCAAAGGGCTGGGGACAGTCAAGCCCCATCTCTCTCCCTCCTTCCAGCTATGAGGACTGATAATCTGCAAACGAGGAAGCCTGGAGCTGGATAGAGGAGCCCCTGGCTTCTGTGGTTCTGGGAACAGGGGTCACCCTAAGATGCCAGGGAACAGGAGACGGAGTGAGGACACAGGTGATGCTGCCTGAGGGACTTTGTTGATTCATCTCTCTCTCTAACCTAGTTTAGGGACTGTCAGTCTGGTGGCATCTGCTACAAGAAAGACATTTAACACATAAACATGAGTTGGGGAAGGAGAGCTGAGCTATTTGGGACAGGAGACAGATTAAGAAATAGAAAGTATTCCCCGTGGATTATAGCCTGTTTCTTTTCCTGTTTTGTATATGAGCTATGCCCTAATTCTTTCTTGTTACAAGCTAGCCTGGGTATGCAAACACAAGGTGAAAACGACTGAACTCCAGTTTCATTAACTCCATCTGGGATGCAGGGTTATAAAGGCAGGTCCCGGCCTTCAGCCTTCACACAGGAATTGGTTAGATTCTGTTTAGACTGAAGAACTGCAGCCTTCTAAGAATGTGAGCTCTAGTCTTGAATTGAGTCTGTTCTGGTAATTTACTTTTTCTTTTTTTTCTGAGCACTTGGATGGAATTCCAAGTCTCCATTCACCCTCTGAGCTGGAATAAAGGAGGCAGGTCGGCCTGAGACCAGAAAATAAGGACAAGTATCCTATCACGGCCTAAACTGTCTGATCAAATCACAGTTCCTCAATCAGGGATTAGAAATGAGATTGACGGTCGGGCACAGTGCTCATACTTATAATCCTAGGGCTCTGGGAGGCTGAGGCAGGAGGATCGCTCAAGCCCAGGAGTTTGAGGCCAGCGTGGGCAACATGGTGAAACCCCATCTCTACCAAAAAATACAAAAATTAGCCAGGGGTGGTGTGGTATGTGACTGTAGTCCCAGCTACCTGGGAGGCCGAGGTGGGAGCATTGCTTGAGCATAGGAGGCAGAGGTTGCAGTGAGCCAAGATTGTGCCAGGGTGACAGAGTGAAATTCTGTCTTGAAAAAATAATATGTGTGTTTCATTCTAACTGCATTCCGAGAAAACTGTCTTTGTGAGTTAGCAGATTCTGAGTGCTTATTACCTGTAGCACATTGGCAAGGGACAGCAAAGTGCTGTCATTAACAACCAGATGAGAAGTCCTATTATTGTCATTCATGTTTAATACTGTGTGCCGGATACAGAATTGATACTCAGCAGCATCCTGGCCCCCTTCACCTCTCCCAGGATCATAGTGGCTGAAAGCTTCAAACCATTGTTTCCCAGACTCTTCAGGGTGGTAATGCGTGGTGGGCAAGTTCCTGTCTGTACTAGTCCATTCCCATGCTGCGATGAAGAAATACCCAAAACTGAGTAATCTGTGAAGAAGAGAGGTTTAATTGACAATTCTGCATGGCTAGGGAGGCTTCAGGAAATTTACAATCATGGCGGAAGGCACCTCTTTACAGGGCACCAGGAGACTGAGTAGGTGCCCAGTGAGAGAAAGGCCCTATAAAACCATCAGATCTCGTTAGAACTCACTCATTATCATGAGAACAGCATGGGGGAAACGGTCCCCATGATTCAATTGTCTCCACCTGGTCCTGTCCTTGACACATGGGGGTTATTACAATTCAAGGTGAGATTTGGGTGGGGACAGAGCCAAACCACATCACTGTCCATGGTCTACATCATTTCACAGTGCTTCTGATGCCTTTGACACCTTGATTTATTCCTCTGGGAATACTGGATTAAGGGGCTCCAAGCATCTACCCCAGTCCTGTCCTACTGCAATTCTAATACACCCCTCTCTGTATTCTTTGTTTCCATTAGTTGGAGCCTTCTCGTTTCTCTAATAACAGACACATGCCGTCGTTTCCACAAAACTTTCACATGTATCTCCTGGAATTCTCACAGCCTCCCTGCAAAGCAGTTAGCACTAACTCCTTTGTAGAGACAAGGAAATTCAGGCTGAGAAACGCAAGTGAACTTGTCCTGAGTGTGCCAACTTAAAGTGCCCTGCTCTTCACTCCACCCACACAACCTTGCTAAATGCCTTTCTCTGTCTGGCCACCATGTTCCTCTTTTTTTCTCTTGCCAATCCATGTGGGTCAAACCCAGAGCCCAGGCTTTGCTTTTAGCTTGTTGCCCAGGAAACCAGCTCCATTGGGAGCTCACCCAATTACACTGTTTCCAATACTACCTGTTGAGAGATGATGCTCACCCCTAGCTCTTAGCCAATATGCTCTCCCCAACCCACATGCAAGGCTGCATTATGTTTCCGTGGGCCCCAGTCACTCTGCCTTCCTGTACTACTTCCTCCAGGTATCCACGTTTTGCGATTATATTGCCATAAAGATGAATATGTTAGCACGTATTAAAACATTTTCTTAACACTTTTTTTTTCAATCATAAAATAACTTGTGTTATCAGGAGTCCCTAAAAGTATTGTAGGCCCTAAGCACTGTGCCTATTCTACCTAGTGGATAAATAGGCCTTACCTACGTGATTCTTCCATATTCTGGAAATAGTCATCCAAAAGGGTTATGGGACAAGCGTCAGAGCTTACGCAGGGAATAGCTCCTGTGTCCACTGCCCTGAGTGGAAATTTTCACAATTCGCAGGGCATAGAGTAGGGTGCTTCTCAGTGGACGAGGTGTTAGTCCTAGACTAAATGTTGCTCTCGTCTCATCTCAGAAAACTTAAAAACAACTCCTGAAAAAACAAAGTGGTTTCCAAGTAACTTAACCGTGTCACGGAGTAAAGCTTAGGAATACTTAAAGGAATATAAAAATATCCAGCACTCCAAAAAGCAAAACTCACAATGCCTCTGTTATCCAATCAAAAATTGCCAGGCATGCAAAGAAGGGATAAAATAAGCCCCATAATGAGAACAATGAGTCAATCAAAGAAAGCCAGAAATGACAGAGAAAATAGAAATAATAGACAAGGACACTTAAACAGTGATTACAAAGGCATTAAATACATTCAAGAAGCTAGAGGAAAGATTGAACATTTTAGTGGCAATAGAGATGTATTAAAGCCTCCAATCAAACATCAAGAGATGAAAAAATCAGGAGATGAAAACCACAATGTCTGAGATGAAAAATACATTGGCCAGGATGAACAGCAGATTAAACACTGCAAAATCAAAGGTTGGTGCACTTGAAAATACAGCAGTAGAACAATTGAAAATATCAAAAATAAAACTTTGAGATGAAAAAAAAAAGCTTAAAAAAAAAGAGCAGAGTATTTGTGGGACATTTCATCAGAATCCCCAAAGATGGTAGGGAGGGCTGAGAAATATTTGAAGATTTAATAGCAGTTTCTAAGCTTGATGAAAACTACAAAACTGAAGATTCAAGAAGCTCAATAAAATCAAAGCTCAAGAAACACAAACACTACACTGGGCACATCACAGTAGTATTAGTTTCCTGGGCCTGCTGTAACAAAAACTACTGTGGCTTAAAATAAATTTATTCTTGCACGGTCCTGGAGCCAGAGTGTGAAATCAGGATGTCACCAGGGCCATGCTCTCTCTGAAGGCTCTAGGGGAGTAGCTTTCCTGGCCTCTTTGTAGATTCTGGTGGCTGCCAGCAATCCTTCATGTTTCTTGGCTTGAAGCATCAGTCCCATCTTTACTTCCATCATCACATGGCACTCTCTTTGTGTATGTCTGTCTCCATACAATGTTCTCCTCTCTGTGTATCTGTGTTCAAATTTCCCTTACCTTATAGGAACACCAGTCATTGGATTAGGACCCATTCTAATCTTATATAACCTCACCTAAACTTGATTATACCTAGAAGAATCATATTTCTAAATCAGAGATTAAAAATATCAGGTCACTTTCACAGGTACTAGGGGTTAGGACTTGGATGTATTACTTTCTGGTAACACAAGTCTACCCACTTTAATGATCAAATTAGTTAAAACCAGTGATTTGGAGAAAACCTAAAAGCAGCCAGATGGGTTAAAAAAAATGTATGCACCATCTACAGAGGAACAAAAATAAGAATGACAGCAGATTTTTCACTAGAAACAATACAAGCCAAAGAAAAGACAATGAAACAACATCTTTAAATTACTGAAAGAAAACAGATGTCCACACAAAATTTTATATCCAACAAAACTATACCTTATAAACAAAGGCCAAATAATTTTTTTTTTCAAACATACAAAAGCTAAAAGAATTAATCACTAGCAAAACTGCAGTCTAAGAAATCTTAAAGAAAGTCTTTCAGGTAGAGGGAAGATAATACCAGATGGAAATGTGAATCAACCAAGAGAGAAAGAGCACTAGAAATATTAACTGTGAGTAAATATAAAATAATTTTTATAATTATTTAATTATATATTTGATTTTATTATAATTATTTAATAATTATTATTTAAATGTATTTAAAAAGTAATTGGCCATTTAAAGCAAAAAATAAAAAAAATAAAATTATGGAGTTTATACTATACCATGTATAGAATAATATGTGATAACAACAGCATAATGATCAGGTGGAGAGAAATGGATATATGCCATTTGAGTATTAATAGTACACAATAGGTGATGCAATATCGGTTGTAGTAGATGGTGATACATTGAATATGTACACTATAAATCTTAAGGCACCACTAAAATAACACAATAGGTATAGCTAATATGCCAACAAAGGCGATAAAACAGAATCATTAAAAAATTCATTATCCTAAAAGAAGACAGAAAAACATTAAAAGAACAAAGAATAAATATGGGGAGTTGGGGAGAGATAGCAAGGGGAGAGATGCCAGATGTAGGTGATGGGGAGGAAGGCAGCATATCACATGCCATGTGTGTCTATGCAACAATCTTGCACGTTCTTCACATGTACCTCAAAACCTAAAATGCAATAAAATAAATGGGAAAAAAAAGAATAAATATGATAAGAAGAAAACAAATAGATATATGGAAGATTTAAACCTAAATCATCACATGAAATGTAACTAGTCTAAAATACCACTTAAAGTCTGAGACTGTCAGATCAGCTAAAACAAAAAAAAACAACAAAAAAAACCCCCACAACTCAACTATATGCTGCATACAAACTCACTTTAAATAACAAGATACAAGATACAAAACAGCAAGATACAAAATAACAAGATACAAACTCACTTTAAATAACAAGATACAAGTTCAATAAAAATGGAAAATTATATATCCTGTATGCACCCATCTAAAGAAAGCTGGTGTGGCTATATTAAGTCGGGGTGGATTCCAAAACAAAGAATATCACTAGCAATAAAGAGGGTCATTTTATAATACAAGAGGGTCAACTCATCAAGAGGTTATAAAAATCTTAAACGTTTCTGCACCTAGTGACAGAACTTCCAAATATATGAAGCAAAAACTAGCAAAACTATATGGAGAAATAGACATATCCACAATTAAAGTTGGGGATTTAAATACCTCTCTCTCATTGATAGAACAAGTAGATAGAACATCAGTAAAGATAAATAAGTCTTGAACAACACAATAAACCAACATGACTTAGTTGACATCTATAGTATACATCACCTAATGATGGCAAAATATACATTCTTCTCAAGCCTACATGAAACATTTTCCATAATAGATCTTATTCTGGTTTTAAAAAGAAGTCTCAATAAACTCAAAAGCATTCAAGACATACAATGTTTTTTGACAACAATGAAATTAAATTAGAAATTGATAATAGATCTCTGGAAAACATCCCAATATTAGAAAACTATGCAACTCATTCTAAATAATCTATAAGTCAAAGAACTCAAGAGAAAAATTTAAAAGTTTTTAACTAAGCAGAAAGGAAAACACAGCATATCAAAATTTGTGGGATCCCATTTAAGGCAGTAGAAGGAAATTTATAGCACTAAATACCTGTATTATAAAAGAATAAAGGTCTCAAGCCAATATCCTGAGCTTCCATGTGGAAACTAGTAAAATGGAAAGAAAAGTAAAGCTAAAGTAAGCAGAAGAAAGAAAATAATAAAAATCAAGGCAGAAATCAATTAAATATAAAATGGAACAGAAAATTATAGAAAAAAAAAATAAAACCAAAAGTTCGTTTATTCAAAAGGCAATAAAATTGATAAACACCTGCAGGACTAATGAGGAAAAAAAGATAAAAAACAAACAGCCAATGTCAGGAATGAGAGAGGTGAGGTCACGATGCATTTTATGGATATTGAGATAAGGAAATATTATGCCCATATATTACATGACTTAGATGAAAAGCAGAAATTACTTAAAAAAACAAAATCTACCAAGGCTCATTCAGGAACTAGAGAACACAAATAGCCCTGTATCTATTAAAGAAATTAAATTTGCAATTAAAAATCTTCCTGCATAAAAAACTAAAGACCCAGAAGGCTTCACTGGCAAGTCCTACCAAACATTTAAAGAAGAAATAATAACATAAATAATAATAGAATAATAACAATTCTAAGTTTTCCATAAAACTAAAGGATACTTCCCAACAGATTCTATTAAGCCAGTATTACTAAAACCAGGTAAAGACATTACAAGAAAATTACAGACAAATATTCTTCATGAAAAAAGATGCAAAAATTGCTAAGAAAATTTTAACAAATCAAATCTAACATTGTATAAAAGGGATACAAATCATGACCAAGTAAGTTTATCTCAGGAATACAAGGTTGAATGAAGACTCAAAAATCAGTCAATGTAATTCACAGTATTTACAGGCTACTAAGGAAGGTCTGTATAATCGTTTTTCTGAATTCAAAAGACAGTTGACAAAATCTGGACCCATTCCTGATAAAAACTTTCTGCAGACTAGAAAGAGAAGGAAAACTGACCAAGAACTTCTATGAAAAATCTACAGCTAACAACATATTTAATGGTAAAAGACTGATATAATTTGGCTGTGTCCCCACCCAAACCTCATCTTCAGTTGTAGCTCCCGTAATTCCTGTGTGTCATCGGAGGGACCCACTGGGGGATAACTGAACCATGGGGTGGTTCCCCTATACTGTTCTCATAGAATTGAATAAGTCTCATGAGATCTGATGGTTTTATAAGGAATTTCCCCTTTCACTTGGCTCTCATTCTCTCTTGCCTGCCACCATGTAAGATGTGCCTTTCACCTTCTGTCATGATTGTGAAGCCTCCCCAGCCACGTGGAACCTGAGTTCCTTAAACCTCTTTTCTTTATAAATTACCAGTCTCAGGTACGTCTTTATCAGCAGTGTGAAAACAGATGAATACAAGGCTAAGATCAGAACAGATAAGGATTTCCACTCTCACCACTTCTATTAAAATTGTACTGGAGATAAAGTGCAAAAAGGTAAGTAGGGAGGGGAAAAAGGTACACAGATTGGAAACAAGAAGTAAAACTGTCTCTATTTGCAGATGAAATCATATCTATGTAGAAAATCCCATGGAATCTATAAAAAAAGAAACCAGAATTGATAGATGAGTTCAGCATGATGGCAGTATACAGAATCGATGTATAAAAGTCCATCAGATTTGCATCAACTAGCAATGGGCAATTGGAAACTGAAATTTTAAAAACAATAATATAACAATGTCATACGAATATAAAATACTTAGGGATATATCTAACAAAAGATGTGCAATACCTGGATGCTGAAGACTCTCAAACATTATTAAGAGAAATAAAATTAATTTAATTTAACTAAATGGTGAGTTATGATATTGTGCCCATGGATGAGAAGACCTAACACTATTAAACTGTAAATTTTCTCAAAATTGATTCTGATTCAATGCAATCCCACATGAAATTGCAGCAGAATTCATTCTGTAGAAGATTGACAAACTGATTCTAAAATTCACATGGAAATGCAAGGAGCCTTGGATAACCAAAAGCAACTTTACAAGAGAACAAAGTTTGAGAAGTTACACTATCTACCTTTATTAAGGGTTATAAAATGATTTAATAAGTGATTAAGTAAAGATGTAAACTATTAAAGCTTATATTTCCAGAGATACACTTAAAATCAATATTTAATTGTATATTAAAATATACAATTGTATAAAAAATTAATAGAAACTGGATCTTCAGTTTGTATGCAGACCCTTCCCATGTCCCCTCCCAGAGACCCATGTCAGTTTTGTTCCCAGGGCTGCTCACCGTCAGGACGTCACACAGTCCCACCAAAGGCTGCTGAGCAGTCCACTTCCTGTGCAATGGTTTCCAGTGAACTTGTCAGGTTCAAGCTGTTCACAACGGTTTTTTTTTCCTTAAAATAAAGAACAAAATCAAACTTCAGAGATATGTAGGGGATATTCATGCCGAATGATGAAAAACAACAATTAAAATAACAAATAAAAACAAAAATAAACAAAACAAATAAAAAACAACAAAAAAAGAAAAGCAATGATTAAGTACCTTATTTGAAACCACAGCACACCTTTAACTTCTGAACACTCAGTGATTTACACTGTTTACACGAGCTGATTCTAAAACTCATAATCTTTAGTGATCAAAACTGTATGGCATTGGCATGAAGGCAGACTAATTTTAGATCAATGAAACAGAATAGACAGTCCAGAAATAGATCTGTACATATACAGATGATTGATTTTCAACAAATGTGTAACATCGATTCGGTTGCGAAAGGATGGTGCCTCAGTCCACTCAGGCTACTATGATGAATTTCCGTAATCTGGACACTTCTAAACACCACAAATTTATTTCTCACAGTTCTGGAGGCTGAGAAGTCCAGGGTCAAGGTGGCCTCTGGTCAGTGTCTGGTCAGGGCTCTGCTTCCTCATAGTCTCCAGACAGTCTTCTTGCTGTGTCCTCCCGATGTGGAACGGACAAGGCAGTTCTGAGGCTCTTTTATAAGGACACTAATCACATTCATGAAGGCTCTGCCCTCATGACTTAATCAGCTCCCCAAAGGCACCACCTCCTAATACCATCACCTTGGGGATCAGGATCTCAGCATATGAATTAGTGGAGGATACAAACTTTTAGGCCATACCAGTAGCCTGTCAACAAATGCAGCTGGAATAATAGAATATCTGTATGCAAAAATTAAACCAAACTTTAATTCATACTTTGCACTGTATACAAAAACAAATGCGAAATGAACCACAGACCTAAGTGTAAAACCTTAAACATACAACGTCTCATCTTAGGCAAAGATGTCCTAGATATAATACCAAGAACACAATACATAAAGGAAAAATTTAATAAACTGAACATTACCAACATTGAGAACTTCTGTTCTTTGAAAGATACTGTTAAAAAATAAAAAGACAAGTTACAGACTTTGTCAAATGAATATCTAATAAACGACTTGTAACTAGAATATAAAAGGACTCTGGAAACTCAGTACTAAGGTAACTACTCCCAAAAATGGGCAAAATATTTTGCTAGCTGTGTCACCCAAGTAAGATGTCCAGAGGGCAAAGCAGCACATAAAAGAGGCTCAGGCCATCCTGGCTAACATGGTGAAACCCCATCTCTGCTAAAAATAGGAAAAAATTAGCTGAGAGTGGTGGCACATGCCTATAGTTCCAGCTACTCAGGAGACAGGAGAATCACTTGAACCCGGGAGGCAGAGGTTACAGTGAGCTGAGATCGCACCACTGCACTACAGCCTGGGCGACAGTGAGAGATTCCACCTAATAAATAAATAAATAAATAAATAAAAGGCTCAGGATCATTTGTTATGGAAATGCAAATTGAAACCATAGTGAGTTCCCACTGCTCTCTTGCTGGAATATCTAAACTCAGAAAGACTGATCATGGCAAGCATTGAGGATGACGCAGCAGGAATGAAATCACGTGTCCATACAAAGACTGATACATGAATTACGTAGCACGTTTATGTGTTATAGTCACAAGCTGAAAACAACCCAAATGTCCATCAACAGATGAATGGATAAACCCTCTGTGGTACATCCATGTGATGGAATACTACTTAACAATGAAGAGGAATGAACCAATGAGACATGCAGCAACATGGACAAATCTCAAAATACTTATGTTAAGTAGGAAGCCAGATGAAGAAAGAATAAATGCTCAGTACAATTTCAAAAAATGCAAACTAATCTTTAATGGCAGAAAGCAGACTGCCTCAGGACGGGGTTTGGTGGTACAACATGGAGCAGGGGAAGCAGACCCAGGAATAAGAGGTGTGAGGCTATTTTCTGGGTGGTGAATATATTTGTTATCCTGATTGTAGCTATGAATTCACGGCTATATACATATATCTAAATATTATCAAATTCTATACTTCTTGTGTGGTTTTTGGTATCAATTACTTTTTTTCTTTTTCTGAGACAGGGTCTTGATCTGCCACCCAGGCTGGAGTACAGTTGTGCAATCTCAGCTCACTGCAACCTATGCCTCCTGGGTTCAAGAGACTTTTGTGCCTCAGCCTCCCAAGTAGCTGGGATTACAGGCATGCACCACCATGCTGGGCTAATTTTTGTATTTTTAGTAGAGACAGGGTTTCACCGTGTTGGCCAGGCTGGTCTCAAACTCCTAGCCTCAAGTGATCTGCCTGCCTCAGCCCCACAAAGTGCTGGGATTACAGGTGTGAGCCCCCGCTCCCCACCCATGCGTTTAGAAAAAAATCAAATCCAGCAGTGAGGTCACTGCAGTTTAAACATAATCATCAACAGTAAAAACCAGGGGCCCAAACATTACCTCAGGATGTGACCCTGGAAGATGGCTGAAAAAGTGGGGAAAAAAAGCTAAGAGTTTCATGCAGCCAGGTTGCCTAATTCAAATGTGGATACTCAAAAAGACAGAAACTCACTTTGTGAGCATCACCAACCTTCATCTCTAGCACCCCTCATCATACTGGTCACCTATGAAAAATTAACCATTGGGCCAAAGGCTGTGACAGACACTTCACCAAAGAAGGTAGAGAAAAATAAGCACATGAAAACATGCTCCATATCATGGGTCATCGGGGAAACGTGAACTAAAACAACAATGAGCCATCATCACTACCCTCCCATTAACATGGCCGAAATCCAGAACACCGACACCACCAAATGCTGGTGAAGCTGTGGGCCATTGTTGGTGAGAATGCAAAATGGTACAGCCACTTTAGAAGACAGTTTGGCAACTTCTTACAAAACCAAACATACCTCTCACTGTGCAATCCAGCAATCACAATCTTGGAATTTATCCAAAGAAGTTGAAAACTTACGTCCACACAAAAACCTGCACAGAGATGTGTATAGCAGCGTTATTCATAATTACTAAAAAATAGAAACAGCCAAGATACCCATCAGTAAGTGAATGGAAAAATAAATGGTGGCACATCCAGAAAATGGGACATTATTCAGCACTAGAAAGAAATGTGCCATTGAGTCACGAAAAGATGTGACGGAAACTTAAAGCCATATTTAGTAAGTGAAAAAGGTCCATCTGAAAAGGCTACTGTGTGATTCCAACTATTTGACATTCTAGAAAAAGCAAAAGTATGAAGACAGTAAAAAGATCTGGGGTTGCCAGGGGTCAAGAGGGAGACAGGGATAAACAGGTGGATGGAGCACAGGGGATATTTTGGTCAAGGAAACTATTCTGTATGATACTCTAACAATGGATAGATTCCAAACCCAGAATGTTTAACACCAAGAATGAACCCAAACGTAAACATAGACGCTGGGTGATAATGACGTGTCCATTTGGTTCATCAGTTGTAACAAATGCTCCACTCTGGTGGACGGTGGTAGTTGGGGAGGTTGTGCATGTGAGGGTGTTGGGGGGCATGTGGAAATTTCCGTATCTCCCTCTCAATTTTGCTGTGAACATAAAACTGCTCTAAAAAGTTAAGTCCTTTAAAAAATAAAAGGGGCATTAACACACATGGCACTATCACCACAGCTCTTAGGTTCCTTCTTTCAAAGGCTCCACCCCAGGGTCTTTGCACATGCCTCTGCCTGGAATGTGTCGCTCTCCCAACTGAATCTCTGCACCTGCTTTGCGTGTTAATTCTCATGGATCTTTCAGAATTCAGCCCAAATGCGACTCCCTCACCTCTGATTGGATCCCCTTATTTTTACCCCTTCACAGTACACAATGATCTTCCCTAAGGGCACATCCACTATTTATAACTAGGGAGTTGTGACACTGCTCTAATATCCAATTTCCCCACTAGACGATTTTTATGAGGCTGGCAACTATGTTTGGCTGACATGATGCCCCCGGCACCTAGCACAGACCCTGGCACACAGCTGGAACTGAATAAATACATGTTGAGAGAATTAATTAACTAATGGCTGAATGAATAAAAGGGCGATGAGAAGCAGCTTTTCATGTTAGCGACGAACTCCTCTGATGCGTCAGAGATTTTTACAGATTATCGAGGAGCTAGGGAACCTCCATCCAGAGCTTTTCCTTTTTCTTCAACCTCCAAGGGGACCACTTGGTTGCAGAAGCGCCACTGTACAGCGAGGGAGTTGAGGGACACACAGAGATGCCTTCTTCTGTGAAGATGCACAGACTAAGTGACCAGTGAGTACCCAGGGACATCTGCCTCCAGCCCACTGCCGATGTCAGGGCAGACACGTTCTTGGCATCCCAGTGTCCCAAATGGACCTCAGAGCACGTTCCAATGAATGCGTAGCCTGCTCTCTGATGGAAATATCTAAACTTTGGGGGGCGAAAGGACACCCCAGAGTCAACATATTGTTAAAAAAATATTGTTCCCTGGAAATTTTATAATCTATTCAGACGAAGTAATCATGTTTGGAAGTTGTCACTGATCATTCTGGGGACAGGGTGGATTCACAAAAACGAATGAGATTTTTTTAGAGGTCTCACCAAATAATCCCCTTTTCTCCTTTATGAGAAGGCAATAATCATATCTACCATGTAGAGAATACTTACTGTGTCTCAGGCTCTGTACCAAGTATACACACACACACACACACACACACACACAGACACACACACACACGTATAGTATCTAATCGTCCCCAAACCCTGCAACATGGGTATGATTATCGCCATTTTACACACAAAGAAACTGAGTCTCAGAATAATCATGTGACTTCCGCAGGCTCATTCAATCTATAAGAGGCAGAGCTAGCATTTCCCTCAGGTCTGTCTGACTTAACTCCAGTTGATCGCTCCACCAGCCTCTGTGGAATTGCCAGATTTCAGCGAAGCATCTGTCCCAGGCTCTCTCTGATCACCATGCTGTGGCTGACATCATAAGCTGTTCTTTGGATGATCAGTCTCTTTAGTGAACTTACCCCTGGCTGAGACATTACATCCAAAGCTTTAGTGAGAAATTCTGGTTTTACCTGGAAGGAAAGCTCTGGGTTTCACCTGGAAACCACATCTGATAGGTCAGCAGTGCTTGCCCAAGGTCCTTGGTGTAGAGGAATTCTGAAGGTGTGCCTGGTCTTGGCAGGAAAGAGCATGGCAATCTATCAGCACTTTCTGCTAGAAGTTGGGGGCGGGAGGGTCCCCAAGGGCAGTAGAATGATACGTCATGCCTATCATAAAAGATGCTCTAAGACCTTAGGCACATGTCCCTAAGTGAACTGCTCAGTTCAATTTTTATTTATTTATTTTTCTTTAGACAGAGTTTCACTCTTGTCACCCAGACTGGAGTGCAGTGGTGCGATCTCGGCTCACTGCAACCTCTGCCTCCCAGGTTCGAGTAATTCTCCTGCCTCAGCCTCTCAAGTAGTTGGGATTACAGGTTATCTGCCACCATGCCCAGCTAATTTTTTTGTATTTTTAGAAGAGACAGAGTTTCACCATGTTGGCCAGTCTGGACTTGAACTCCTGACTTCAGGTGATCTGCCCGCCTCGGCCTCCCAAAGTGCTGGGATTACAGGCGTAAGCCACCGCGCCCAGCCCCAGCTCAATACTTTGCATAATGACTTTCAAGAAGAGATTTGAGAACATGCAAATGAAACCTACGCATGACACAATACTGGAGGACGGAAACATTATTTCATCTGCCAAACAGGGTGACAACATAGGGTTGTCACTGCATCATTTGGGTTTGCCACTGGTGCTACCAAAATTTGAAATTCCCCCAGAAAAATTGTTTCGTTTTATTTACGATATTGGGAATGGGGAGTACAGGACACTTGTCTCCATGGATCAGGGAGCTAAAATGGGGATTTTGACAGTTATTCGGTATCTCTAGCTCACGATGTTTTGATAGGTTTTATTGTTATTTAGGTCTAATAAGGCCAACAGACCCAGAGATGGCTGCTATTAAGAGTTTGTTACTGACAGGTCCCAAGAGAAGGGGAAGAACTAGAGCAGAGCAGGTGGAAACTGTGGACAGAGCCTCTACCGTGGTTTCCCTGAGAAGGGGCGAACAGGCTCCCTCCCGAGAAGGCAGAATGAACAGGCTCAGGACTGGCGTGCTGAAAAATTTCAGCAGCTCTGGGGCACAAGGGCTGTCCCTAGCTGTGAAGCGCTTGGCCCGGGGCAATTAGGAAAGCCGGAGAGTGGCCTGGAGTGTGAGAGCCAGAGGATGTGGTCGGGCTGTGAACTCTGGATCGGTCAGTTTGTATTTGAAAAGGTGTCACTTCTCCTTTGCTCCTTCTTTCC